ACACACACACACACACACACACACACACACACACACACACACACACAAAATGAATTTAAAGTAAATTTCTTATTAAAGCTTCCATTGCATCATGAACATCCAAATTATTCCCTTTTTCTTTTGCTCAGCAAAACCTCAGTTAACACTGCACAGTTTGTCTTGCATCTCATCACACAGGGATGTTCCTAGAACCTTTACTTTCAATCTTTACTGGACTGAGAGAATCAGAAAGAAAACATGATTTAGGAGAGTGGGGTAGAAATGTTTCTCAAACAGATGCATTTATGAATCTTCCATTCATTTACCTCAGACAGTGCGTAATGGATGTGTTCTGCTCCACGTCAACAGAAAGGTCAAGAAAATCCTCATCTTTGCTACTAACCTGTAGCAAAAAATACATATGTAAAAGATAAACACACGTCTAAATGCACCTGAAACCCATATACAAATTTTGCACTTGAAACAATTACTACAAATACAAATTGTACAAAATAACTAATTTTAATATTTTCTAGACAGATTTCTGGCTTTGTATAAATAGGTTCCCGTGTCAGTCAACAAGTCCATTAATCAACCTTTCACACCATTTCAGTTCTGTTTCTGGCACTTATCCAAACTCACTGACCATCCATCTCTAGTCCTTAAAATGGCCTGGCTTTTCACCACCATATTTTTGGAGCAGCCAAATTTTAGTTCATTTGTGGTTTTCAGATGCTTGTGAGAGAAGCAGGAGAGTGAAAAATAACTGATGTAAATATAAAGAATAAGGGTATGTCTACACGACAAACCTAAGGCCTTGGCTACACTTGCAAGTTACAGCGCTGTAAAGCCTCCCCCAGTGCTGTAACTCACTCCCCGTCCACACTGGCAGGGCACTTACAGCGCTGTATCTCCCTGGGTACACCGCTGCAGGTACTCCACATCTCCGAAAGGAATAACGGCTGCAGCGGAATGGCTACGACTCACGGGTGTGAGTGTAAACGCTTGCAGCGCTGTACTAATCACCTTGTCAAGTGGCCAATCCTCTCCATTGTTGTGACCGGCTGCAGGAATGCGGAAGTGCCGGTTTCAAAGCTCGTACCACAGAGAAAAGCAAACAGTTTGCAGCTTGCTTTGAGTGAGTAAATGAATGAGCAGGGGGCCGAGAGTTTGGAACTTGCAAAATAGAGAGCTGACATGCTCCAAAAAGCACTCTCTCTCCCCCGACACTCCCTGTCACAATCCACCCCCCCACCCCCGTTTTGAAAAGCACGTTGCAGCCAAATGAATGCTGGGATAGCTGCCCATAATGCACCGCTCCCAACACAGCTGCAAATGTTGCAAGTGTGGCCACACCACTGCGCTGGCAGCTGTCAGTGTGGACAGACTGCAGTGCTTTTCCCTACTCAACTGTACGAAGACAGGTTTACCTCACAGCGCTGTACAGCTGCAAGTGTAGCCAAGGCCTAAGTCGACCTATATTAGTAATTACTGTGGTGGTGCATGTCTACACTACCCTCCTTGGGTCAGTGGTATGCATGCTCACCAGGCGCGCTTTCACCAACCTAAGAGGGGCAGTGTCGGGAGCTGAGAGACCAGCCCCATAGGCTCCCACTGGGCTCCCATCCTGCCCCCCATTCCCTGCACAGAGCATGGGGGAAGCTGCCCAGGACTTCTCGCCACGCCCCTCCTCCCCCCATTCCCCACTGGGAGCTGAGGGAAGCCACCTGGGGTTTTCCTGCCGTGAAACTGACAAGCCCATGTAAGGGACACAGTGTCTACGCAGACATTGTGTTCCTCTAACTACACTGACATAAGCCTTATGCCTCTTGTGGAGGTGGAGTTATGATGTCAGTGTAGTAGGGCACTTACATTGGTGAGAGCAAGGTTGTAGTGTAGACACTGACATAATTAGGTCGACATAAGCTGCCTTACGTCGACCTAATTGTGTAGTGTAGACCAGCCCGAGGTGTTTCACCTCTTTCCCCTTGAGATGCGCCTATAATTTATACACATTGTTCTATGGTGAATTTTAAAACAATATGAAAATAGTTTTGCCAGTTTTAAATTTTTTAAGTGCACATTGTACCAGAGTTTACTTGCGTCTTTTACATATAATATATGGCATTATATGCACACAGCTAAAGATCTACATAATTATATTCACCCCTGTGGACAGGACTGCAATGAAAGTGCAGTGGTTGGTATAAATCAAGAATGGGCATGCATGGAGAAATATCATATTCGCCAAAATGGATACCATTTGGTTTTGTGTTCTTTCATCTTCAGGGACAATCAGGGAGGTAAGCATAGCACTTTTGTACCAAATTTTTTATCTTTAGCCTTGCATCTAGATCTGGTTGGAATAAATGCAATAGAATAGTTTTCCCTCAGAGAATGCAGTTCCGTAGAAAGTGAAATGCTTTGCAAAATCATGTCCATTTCATCAAAATTTTATTTCAGACAAAAAAAGGAGAGGGAGGGAGTTCTAATAATATTGAAATGTCCCATTTAATTTCAATATTTTTAATTAAAAATTTCAATTTTTCCTTTAAAACAACTTTGTTTTGAATTTTTTAAATTTTGCATTATACCATACAGTGAAATTAAAATTGAAATGAAATTAATCCTGTAATTGCTCTAACATTTTTGATCAAGCTCAAACAATTTTTCCCCTGTAATTTTCTTTCATGCTTAATTTTACATGTTCAGGTTTCATTCCAGGCAAATGAAAACAAAAATTGAAATCTCACAATGCTCTGCAAAATGGAATTTCTGTTCTCTGCCCTGCTCTACTCATGTCCCTTGTAGGCCACCTTAAAGGATTTCAGTCAATTACAGGATTCAAATTTGGGGAAATTGTTGGAGTGGGAGGTGTTTAGGGCCATGGTTTTAGTTTAGCCTATTTTAGAATTGCCAGCTGAGAAATCTGAATTGAGATACCAGACTTCTCCAAAATTCAGGAATGTTCAGGCCTTAGGTTTTAATTGGGACCCATCGCTAATTAACACAGACTATGTCTTAGGGTATGTCTACACTACGAGAGTAGTTCGATTTTACTGAAATCGAATATGTGGAATCGATATTACAAAATCGAACGTGTGTGTCCACACTAAGGACAGTAATTCGACTTTGTGAGTCCACACTAACGGGGAAAGAGTCGACATTGGAAGCGGTGCACTGTGGGCAGCTATCCCACAGTTCCCGCAGTCCCCGCTGCCCACTGGAATTCTGGGTCGAGCCGCCAATGCCTTCTGGGTAAAAAAATGTGTCGAGGGTGCTTTTGGGTAACTGTCGTCATCCGTCCGTCACTACCGCCCTCCCTCCCTGAAAGCCCCGGCGGGAAATCAGTTCGCGCACTTTTCTGGTCAGTGACAGCGCGGATGCCACAGCACTGCGAGCATGGATCCCGCTGCGACCATCGCTGCAGTTATGGCCGTTGTCAACACCTCGCAGCTTATCATCCACCTTTCCCAGAGGCAGATGCAGAGAAATCAGGTGAGGAGGCTACGGCAGCGCGGTGAGGGCCTGAAGTCTGAGAGTGGCACAGACCTGTCAGAAAGCACTGGACCCAGCGCCAAGGACATCACGGTGGCAATGGGTCATGTTGATGTTGTGGAACGGCAATTCTGGGCCCGGGAAACAAGCACGGACCTGTGGGACCGCATAGTGCTGCAGGTCTGGGATGAATCACAGTGGCTGCGAAACTTTCGCATGCGGAAGGGGACTTTCCTGGAACTTTGTGAGTTGCTGTCCCCTGCCCTGAAGCGCAATGACACCCGGATGCGAGCAGCCCTGACTGTCCAGAAACAAGTAGCCATAGCCCTCTGGAAGCTTGCAACGCCAGACAGCTACCGGTCAGTCGCGAACCACTTTGGCGTGGGCAAATCTACCGTGGGGGTTGTTGTCATGCAAGTATCCAACGCAATCGTTGAGGTACTGCTCTCAAAGGTAGTGACCCTGGGAAACGGGCAGGTCATCATAGATGGCTTCGCCGCAATGGGATTCCCAAACTGCGGTGGGGCTATAGATGGAACTCACATCCCTATCCTGGGACCGGACCACCAGGCCAGTCAGTACATTAACCGAAAGGGCTACTTTTCAATGGTGCTGCAAGCACTGGTGGACCATAGGGGACGTTTTACAAACATCAACGTCGGATGGCCGGGCAAGGTTCATGACGCTCGCGTGTTCAGGAACTCAGGTCTGTTTAGACGGCTGCAGGAAGGTATTTACTTCCCTGACCAGAAAGTAACTCTTGGGGATGTGGAGATGCCTATAGTCATCCTCGGGGACCCAGCCTACCCGCTAATGCCCTGGCTCATAAAGCCCTATACTGGCGCCCTGGACACTGAAAAAGAACTCTTCAACTACCGGCTGAGCAAGTGCAGAATGGTGGTGGAGTGTGCTTTTGGCCGTCTCAAGGGGAGATGGAGAAGCTTACTGACTCGCTGTGATCTCAGCGAAACCAATATCTCCATTGTTATTGCAGCTTGCTGTGTGCTCCACAATCTCTGTGAGAGCAAGGGGGAGACCTTTATGGCAGGGTGGAAGGTTGAGGCAAATAGCCTGGCTGCTGATTACGCCCAGCCAGACAGCCGGGCGATTAGAAGAGCCCAGCGGGACGCGCTGTGCATCCGGGAGGCTTTGAAAGCTAGGTTCCTGAGTGAGCAGGGTAACCTGTGACTTTTCAGTTTGTGTACAGAGAAGCTGAACCTGCCCCCGTTTCTTTACCCACTAAATGTTCAGTATCCTCTCCAGTTACATACCCCGTTCCCCCCCTTCCAACACACGTTTAAAAATAAAATTACTTGAATTTTGTTAATGAACACCGTTTTCTTTATTACTGTTTTCTCGGTAAAGTGTTGAACCTGGGACGCAGACTGTGGTGGGGAGCGGGTGTAGTGTAGTGATGCAAATGACGCTTCTAAACTCCAGGAATGACAGGCTCCGCAGTGGTGGACTGGTGGTTTCAACGGAGCCTGCCACCCCTCCTGTTCGGGGCTCTGTGTGTGTGGAGGCTATGTGACTTTGTGGCAGGGGGAGGACGGTTACAGATCCCCTGCTGCGTGGCTCTGTGATCCAGGATAAGGATCGCTGCATAAGATCTCTAACTGCCCTCCCCCACCACAAAGTCACAGAGCAACCCCCCCCCCCACAGAACATGAAAACCACCTCCCAGACTGACCAGGGTAACTAGTGACTGCACTGTGTGTGTGCCCTGCTGCTGAACCTGCCCCCGCCTCTGTACCCTGGTAAAGGTGACTGTCCTGTCCAATTACCAACCCCCTTCCCCCCCTTCAGACAGACTCGCCTCTAAAAGAACATGATGGAAACAGTAATTAACAGAAACGTATTTTTTATTAGCAACTACACATGAAACTGGGGGGTGAAACTTGGACG